AAAGAGTGAGTGGCACTTTGGGGCTGGAAGCCCTGGGTTGGAAGGTGGGACTTGGCGTTGTGGGTGGAGTAGGCAGGACCTCTCCATGGCTGTGATGTTTTGTGGGGGATGAAGAAGCTGGCTATCTGTGAAGTGCTGAAGGGCATACAGGAGCAGTGGGGGACAAGCTGGTACCTGGGGAAGTGATCTTTGTGGTGGTGTTTTGAGTTGAGGTGCGGGACTGTTCCTTGTTGCAAGGCCAAAGAGAAGGCTGTCACAGCAGCAGTCTTTGGGTGCATCCATTCATTACTGTGGGGGAAGCAAGAGAAGCCCATAGCTCAGTGATCCAGTGCAGAAAAGTCTGATACATTCACCTCCAGCACAGAGGTATGCTCCCACAAATAGGAGGGTGAAGCCCAGAATAGTGCAGGTCAACGCTAACCAAGACCTATCTCCCTGTCTGCAGAAACTGGGAGAAGCAGTCGTAAGATGGGCTGTATCTAGAGACTTGGAGAGTTTTTATGTTTGATTTCATTAAGTTGGAGATGACAGCTAAGCTCCTAGAAGGAGATGCCATGTGCCATGGTGCAAGCTGTGCTTAGGCCACGGGGTAGAGACAGGACTTTGTAGGACTCACCTTTTCCGTTTTCTGAAAGCTACGGAAGTGCCTTGTCCCAAATTGCCATCATTATTCCCTTTCTGGAGCCTCTCCCACCCTTGAAAGAAAAAGATCTTGTTTCATAAAGAGGCACTTGCACACTTGCTCCCAGGTGAGCCATTGCTTGTCCAAATGCTGCTGGAGGTGGCAGTGGCCATTGGGCTGTGCTGACAAAAATGTGACTCCTGTTCTTGTGTTTTCAGAGTACGGATCTGACAAGCACAGTTGGCTATGACAGCATCATTCAACATCTGAATGATGGCAGGAAGAACTGCAAAGAGTTTGAAGACTTCTTGAAGGAGAGGTATGAACCTGCTGCTGAAAATGGGTTGGTTTGAACCTGGAGAAGTGAAGTGGGGGCACTGTGTCTGCTCTGTGTATTCCCATTTTGGTTTCTGTTGCATTTAACTGTCCGCTATGTTAAAACACCTTTGATTTTTGATTGATGAGAAACTTGCTCTCTGACACTGTCCTTGCCTTGCGTGGCTGGTGCAGTGGTTTGAAGTCCATGGCCAAGAATACTTGGCTGTGAGGCAGTGATGGTGCCCAGGGCTTGATGCTCACATTTTGAACTGCCTGTTAAAAAGAAAGAGGAATCAGGAGCACTAGACAGTTGCTAGACATCTGTACTGATGTGTTTGTTACTGATGTGTCTGCTGGTGGCCTGCCCAGGCCACACACTCTCCCATGAGGTTCACCTTGCTGTTCAGCTTGTAGCAGATAAAGTGAAGACCTTGGCATAGAAGTAGTATGGCTTTGTCATGATTTTGTCTTCGTACATTATGGACAAACTAAGACACTCTAGAAATCAACAAGAATAGCATCTGCACCTCTGTTAGAGACAGGCATTTTTAAGGAGCTATTTATTTTATCCAGCAGACCTTCTAATGCCAGCCTGTAGCAGTGCTTGTTTCTCTACAGTGACTGCAGGCAGCCAGTGCAGTTTGTGCAGATGGAGATTTCATTTCACCTACACTTCACCAAGCAAGCCCAGCTGTGGTTGTCTGTACAGATTTCAAAGCAGCTGTGGAAAGCTGGTTGTTCTTTGACTGCAACACACAGGCCTTCTTTCTCCCAGCTCTGTTTTTCAAGAGGGGAGGACACACAGTCTCTCAAAGGTGTTGCTTATGTTACCTCACAAGATGTGGCCCCCTCTTCAGTGTCCTCCCAAAGGACCACAGGTGGGAAGGAGAGAGCACTGATTGCCTCGTTGTTAAAAGTCATGAAGAGCAGAAATGGCCCAGATGAGCTTTGGGGTGCATGTATGGTGGCTGGGTGGTCTTTGAGGTTCCTACTGCCTTCTGTCACATTTGGTTTAACTCAGCCAAATCAGATTCAAAAGTACTTTGTGTGCATGAACCAACAGACACTGATGTCCCAGATGCATAAAATGTGATCACATGAGCCGTGTATCCACAGGAAACTAAAAACTACTCACCTGACTCACCTGGCTGCATCTAGCCACCAGCTTAGTCCTTCATCTCCTGCAGTGGTGGTCCTTGCACCCATCAGCCATGAGAAAATGGGGAGAGCAATGCACTGGGGCCACTGACACAGTAAAACAAAGTGTTTTCACTAGAAATGTTGTTGGGTGACTGCTAGCAACAGCCTTCCTTCAGCCAGCCATGCCCAGCAGGTCAGAAGGCAGGGAGGGTGTTAAGAGCAGGTCTTGGCCTCTGCTGCAAACACGCTTATGAAATGAGAACTTCCTCTCTTTTTCCTTAACAGGGCAATTATAGAAGAAAAATATGGCAAAGAGCTGATTAACTTGTCAAAGAAGAAGCCCTGCGGGCAGACGGAGCTGAAGTAAGTTCACAGCCCTGTGTGTGATTTGCTTTTTTGGGTGTCCTTGCTTGGAGCAGCGAAGGAGCAGGAGAAGGAAGGAGGCGGTGAGAGAGAAAACAGTGTTGAAATGTGATGGGGGCTCTACCAGAAGATGATCTGAAATCAATCGTATGAAGGAACAGTGCACAGTGGGGTTGGACTTTGCCAGTAAATGAGTTGGACTCCACCAAGTTCCCACCAGCCACAGATTAACCAAAGCATCACAGATGCTCAGGCGAGAGGCAGGTGAGAGCTGAGGATCATGAGACATTGGGGTTGCTCTTGGCTTTTTTCTGTGGCCAGAGTAAAGTACAGGTACTTCCTTGACCCAAACTATGTACATCTTCAAAGCCCAGTGTGTTACCATCTCACAGGGGTGCTGTGGCTGCTGCAGTTGGGTCCATGAGGGGGTCTCCACTTCTCCAGAGACCCTTGGCATCTTCTGCATCCTGCTTTGCTTCTGTACTTTATACATGCCTGAGCTGATTTACATGGTAGTTTTTATACTGTTTTATATTGAGGTGTCACATATAATGTTTCTGAAGTATTTATTGTACAATATTAACAGGGAGAAAAGTTCCCTACATTTCCAACCAGTGGCCATTGTATCAAGGGGAAGGTGTTCATATATCCCAAATGATATTTTTAGAAGGCTGCCTGAAACGTTTGTCATGAAAGTCAGAATTTTTAATAGCACCCATTGTTCAGAAAGATGTAAAGTAGAAAAACCAAGTGAGCTGTGTTATACTCACTGAGAGGAAAAAAGCCAGAGGTGTAAAGAGGGTAAATAAACCTGATTTGAGCTGCTTTGGTCAGTGTTGAGTGGGGGTTTTCCTATCCAGACCTGGGGAGGTGCACTTCTGATGCCTGCACCTGGCTGTGCTTTCCCACTTTTCTTTTTAATGCTCTGCCTGTTTTTCAGCACACTGAAGAGATCCCTGGATGTTTTCAAGCAACGTAAGTAATTCTTCATGTTTGTCAGGACACTTGGCAGTGCCAAAGCCTGCAGGCAACTGCTTGGGAAGAAAATAGCAGAGAAATTTCCAGAGCAGTGCAATGGTGGGGTCAGGTGCTCATTCCAGTGTGTGGTGCTTGGGATGGAGCACTTCAGGGTATGGGTGGGAGAGGACCCAGATGGGTTGTCCCTTTGGAGATCTCTTGGGCTTTCCAGGATGGCTGCAGCTGAGAAGTTGTGCTTGCATTTTATATTAGAAACTGGGCATCAGAAGCTCAGGAGGAGTTTGTTGGACAGGTTTGCCTTGCCTCTTCACACGTGTATGAAGTAATTTGCACCTGGAATCCTGGGGTCAGGTCTGGGCCCCTCAGGACAAGAAGGAGATGGAGGGGCTGGAGCATGTCCAGAGAAGGGCAAGGGAGCTGGGGCAGGGTCTGGAGCACAAGGGTGAGGAGGAGCAGCTGAGGGAGCTGGGGGTGTCCAGGCTGGAGCAAAGGAGGCTGAGGGGAGACCTTCTGGCTCTGCAGCTGCCTGAGAGGAGGTTGGAGCCAGGGGGGTCGGGCTCTGCTCCCCAGGAACAAGGGATGGGACAAGAGGAGATGGGCTGCAGTGGTGCCAGGGGAGGCTGAGATGGGATGTTGGGCAGCATTTCTTGCTGGCCAGGGTTGTCAGGCCTTGGCCCAGGCTGCCCAGGGCAGGGCTGGAGTCCTCATCATTGGCCCTGGTCAGGTTTGTCTGCTGCTCTGTCCCTTGATGAACCTCACTAATGAGGCTCTGCCCTCCCAGCAGCCAACCATCAAAAGCTGTGAGTTTGAAACATCTCTGGGGGCTGAATCATGACCTACAGTTGGGCTTAGCTCCCTGGATGAGCTTGCTGGTGTGGTGTTTTGTGGTATGGTCGCTCACCTTCAGCAAGATGAGCCTGAGCTTTTTTTAGCATTATTTTTTCCTGTGCCCCAAGGAGGTTGGCTGCTCCCCCGGGGCAACACTCCCCTCACACAGCTGCTTCAGGGTGCGAGGTGTTGAAACATGCCTGGGTTCATCCGGATGAGGGAGAGCTGTGGCTGTGCTCGTTTTAATAAATTCTCTTGATAGGAGTGGACTTGGTGATCTCAGAGGTCTTTTCCAACCTCAGTAGTTCTGTGATTCTGTGAGTGTTCTTGAACTGAAGGGCAGGCCCCAGCAAGTCTCATGCTGAATAGGTCCTTACTTAGGCACTGCCTGGATTCTGCTTCAAAAGTACTGCTACTTCTATGTGTTTCTGCAAGAGGATGTATGAGGTGGGGTCAGTTTGATGTCAGCTACAACAGTTGACTTGAGCAACAGATTCCTTTTAGTGTCATATGTGTTTGTTTGTTTGTTTCTTTGCTTGTTTGCAGAGATAGACAATGTGGGACAAGGTCACATCCAGCTGGCGCAAACCCTGCGGGAGGAAGCAAAAAAGATGGAGGAATTCAGGGAAAAGCAAAAACTGCATCGGAAAAAGGTCAGGTGCAGTGGGACGGGCTGCTCCTGGCTGGTGTCTCTGGCCCTGCCCCTGCCCTCTCCGTGCCCCTGGTGCTGGCTGCTGTAAGGAAGTCCTGACCTCCTTCCTGCATGTTGCAACCGTGTTGGTGAACTCTGTGGCAACTTCTGACTTCCTTCTCACTGCTGTGTCTTCATTTGCGTCTTCACTTCACCTTCTGGGGCTAGTGATTGTAGGGGCTCAGGCCCAGGGCCACCAGCCTCAACCTCCATGTGTTTAAGAATGGGCATATAGTGATGTATCATCTCCATGGGGTCTGCTGAAATCAGCAAGCTCTTTAACTTCTGATTTGAGTTACCTTTGTCTGGAAAATTAGGGAAAACTGGTAGAACCAGTGGCTGGTTTGGACCTAGCAGAGGGGATTGGGCTTCCCAATTTTGCTGAGCCCTGTGGAGGTGATACAGCCCTATATTTTGCTAGGATTGCTTTTGTAGAGCTCGTTTGTATACACAAGGGGAGGCTTAGATAGAAGTGTGAACAATGAATGTCTTGGATGGGTTTTGTGAAGATCCTCTGTGTAAGAAGAAGTCCTTAAACCCATCTCAGTCTGGTCCATGCCTCTTCCTTTCCTAAGCCACACCGTTCATCCTGGAGCTTTGATGATCAGCCACGTGCTGACTTTGGGTCTGTTGTCTTCACAGATAGAGCTGATAATGGATGCAATCCACAAGAACAGGAATTTGCAGTACAAGAAGACCATGGAGGTAAAGCAGATGTGCTGCTGTTACTTCCCATATGGGTTAATGCTGCTGGCATACACACACGTGGTGCTGGGGCTGACTGAAACTCGGGGGTCTTCCTCCCTTCTGCGAGCCCCTGTATTTTGTCTGCATGAGTGGTGTGTAGGACATATGCACTGAAACCAAAGAATTTTCAAGGCAAGCTGGTAGCCTTGCAGGGCTGGGTATGAGTAATCTAGGTGTCCCTGACTTGCTTAACCTTGCGTGGGGAGCAGCTTGTCCTGCGAGGTGGGTTTTGCACGAGCAGAAGGGCACCCAGGACCCTGCGTGCCATGCCCTGCTCTGCTCCCACCTCTTCACCCGTGGGCTGTGCTCTCCTCCAGAGCCTCCTGCGTGAGCTGTGCTTGCACCCCCTTGCTTGCTGACACCCTCCTGCCCCGTGGGGTGGCTCTCCTAGGCCAAGAGGCTCTACGAACAGCGCTGCCGGGACAAGGACGAGGCGGAGCAGGCTGTGCACCGCAACGCCAACCTGGTGACACAGAGGCAGCAGGAGAAGGTAGGTGGGGGAAGGAGGAAAAAGGGCTGGGGATGAGACAGGAGGGCTGCCCATCTTCCCCAGTCGGGCTGCAGAGCCGTTGGTGACTCCTCCTCTTACCTTTCTTCTCTGTCCCATTTTTTTGGGCAGCTGTTCCTGAAGCTGGCTCAGACGAAATCGGCTCTGGAGGATTCTGGTGAGCGTGGAGAGCGTTTCCTGGGGCAGAGGGGTTGGGAAGCCATGGCATGGCTCTTGGCTGAACTCCAGCTCTAGGGTCAGGCACAGCTCCTCAGAAACATGTGCCCAAAGTGTTGGAGGTGGGCACCTTCCCTGGAGAAGCCTGCGTGGCCCCACCAAGGCTGCTCCCACAGCGAGATGCTCCCCCTCGCTCTGCATCCCCTTGCAATGCCCAGCTGCAGCTGGGCTCCCACAGGATTGCTGCTTTGTCCACCACATCCCAGCCACTTCAAACTTCACATGCTACATTCTAGCAAACGGGTTTTTTTTAATTAATGTTACTTAGATGACAATGTGGTTTCCCCCGCAGACAGGAGTTACCAGCAGAACATTACTACACTGGAGAAGATCCGGGAAGAATGGCAGAAAGAGCACATCAAAGCTTGTGAGGTAAATGCCCTGAAACACTTTCACAAGGCAACATGGTCCTCGGGATGTCCGTCCCTTGCTGTGGGTGTCAAGGGTGGTGAAGATTTGCCCTCTCTGTGTTCCCCTGGCAGTGAAGCAGCAGGAAATGTTGCAGCTCACCCTGTCTGTGCTTCACACTTGGCTTCTGGATTCAAGGTCCCACTACTTAAAGGGTCCCACTGTTATTTTTCTTTCTTTTTTTTCTTCCACCACCTTTTAAAATTGACAGTCAGTGTACTAAGTAGTGATGTTTTTGCCCATTATCTGCCTGCAAGTTCAGTGTGGCCATTGTCTAGGACAGTGATGGTCATGGTCACCTCTGCATACCTGGTGACTTGAGGCCAGTGTGTTCTGCAGCTGCAGCACCACCCAGCAGCCTTCCAGAAACACTGGAAGACTTTAAATGTTCCTTGCAGCATAGGCTGGTGGTGGGCTGGGGACACAGGCTGGGTCCCCATGCAGCAGGATGCCCTCACCTTGCATCTCATGGACCACGTGGTAGTGTGGGAACTCCTCTAAGCAGCTGTGCCAGCTTAAAGCAGACTGCTAGCAAAGTGCTCTAGGAAAAAATTTCTAGCACATGCTGGGGAAGTTCAGAGCTGGTGGTGAGAAGGCCAAGCTTGCAGAAGGTCTTCCTATCCCCAGCCACACCACTGCCTTCCCAAGCTATTTCTCCTCAGGCCTCTATTTTACTTTTTTACTTTGTGTGGGGTGTGTGTTGGTGTCTCAGTGCTGGTGTGCTTTTAGTGCCTGGAGTCTACAAAAGACTCTGGTGGTGGGGTATGGGAAGCAGTAGTTTCAGTTCTACATGTGGATCACATGGAGGTTTTCCCCTTGGTGTGTTGCAAAGGTCATAACTGATAGCCAGTGTGCATGGACACTTGGGGTGAAAGGCTATCTTTCATGGAAATGCATAAAGGCACATGAAATTGAGGTATACGAGGCAGCAGATTCCAAAAGACTTGGATTTAAACCTGCTTGGAAAAGGGCTGGGCAGGAAAGAGGGAGAACAGCAGCTAGCCAATGCACCTCTGTTTTCACACATCCCCAGTGCTTTTTTTATTGCACTGTACCTGTGGGATGGAAGTGAGTTGGGAATGCAGGGCCATGGGATACCTAGGGAATGTCTGTTACCTTTAGGAAGCTGGCTTGGTCTCCTCAGAGGTAATGGTGTGCCAGGTGGCCCCTTTCACATTAGCCTTGCAGATCTTTCCAAGCTTAATGGTCATCTTTGAAATACTTGGTTGCATAGAGGGCTGATTTCTCCTCTCAACAAGCTGGAGGACTCATGGTTTCTATGTTTCCTACCAGAGAACACCATCACCTGCTCTTTGCTGAGGACAGTTGTCCTGGTTTGAAAGTAAAGGTGTGATCTTGAAGACCCAGCAGTTAGAAAAACATTCCACTTTTATCAGTCTTAGATGGAAGGCTCTGGTGCTAGTTAAATGAAAGCTCACTGAAGGAAAAAAAAAATCAGTAAAAGGAAAATTGGCTTCATCCTGGCTCAAACCAGGACAACAGTAACCTTTCTAATGGCACTTGGGATTGAGAAATGTTCAGGATAAAAGAGATTTGCTCTTGCTTTAAAGATCTTAGGGCTGATTTGTCTGTGTGGTTCCAGTTCTTCGAGACTCAGGAGTGCGAGCGGATCAACTACTTCCGCAACGCCCTCTGGCTTCATGTCAACCAGCTCTCCCAGGGCTGTGTCCAGAATGACGAGGTACGTCGAATCAAAATCTTCACTTTCCTGTTTGGAAAGCAAAGCCCAGTTTGCTTTCCTGTGCCCTGATCTCTGCTATGTCCCCATGGTGCTGTGGCCTTTGATGGGCCACCAGACACCAGCATGAGTGTGCAGGCAGAAGGTTTTGGCTGGAGCTTGTGCAGATGAGGTTTTCTCTGGGATTCCCATGTTTTTTGAGGGTGGTGAAACACTGGGCCAGATTGCCTGGAGAGAGATGGTGGGAGATGCCCCATCCCTGGCAACGTTCCACGTCAGGTTGGACGGGGCTCTGAGCAACCTGATCTAGTTGCAGATGTCCCTGCTCACTGGAGGGGGGTGGCACTGGATGGCATTTAAAGGTCCTGTCCAACCCAAACCATTCAGTTGAAGCCTGTGTCCTGAGTGAGCACTGGGCTTTCATGCCTCATGTGATAAATGATTAGGAAGAACGCTCTTGTTTTTTTCACCTGATTTACAGAAGTTAATATTTATTAATTATTAATTCTTTATATTTACACTTTTGTAAGCTTTTTATTTCCTGTTTGCAGAAATACGAGGAGATCCGCAGGAGTTTAGAAATGTGCAGCATTGAGAAGGATATTGACTTTTTTGTAAATTTACGCAAAACTGGAAGTTCGGCCCCAGGTAAGAGCTCGGCAGAATTTCACAAAGTAGTGTTCACTTCCTTCTAGTCCTTGTGGGGCTGCTGCTCTGACCAGCATCCATTTGGATGCAAAAATGTTGCTTTTGCAACATCACTCCTTTCAGAAACTGGCAGGCAGGCCTAGTCTTTGCCACTTACTACCACTCATCTCCCTTTCTCATAACTTATTATCCTAGAGAGAATAAAGACTTAGCAGCTGAATCCTGATGTTGACAAGTGGTTATAATTATAAAAGGTCTATACTTCACCATTGTTACTCTTTTCTAGCTCCTGTTGTTTATGAAAACTACTATAATGCACAGAGAAATGTGGCTCCTGCAAGAAGTCCTGTTCCTGTGCCTATATCAAGGTAAGGGACATAACATTTGCAGTTGCAAATTATGCTATCCAAAAAGAAAAACCAAAGTCAAAGCAAACAAATAAAAAAAAACCCAAGCATATTTTCTTGCTTTCAGTCTGTTGGAGGCTTGACTTGGGAGTATTAAAGGAAAATATTTCCCATGCCATGTAGTCCATCTCTCTCCACAGCAGGAGCTGTGCCAATGTGCTGCCTGTAATAAGCTCTTCAAGGACTCCTTTAAGCCCAGTCAGAGGTTTTTGCTCTCCCCTTTGGGGTAATTTCTCCCTTCTCATGGGTGGTAATCTTACTCAGAAAAGTGCTTGTGGTGAGGGTGTGGTCATATTCTCTTGTGCAAAGCATCTTCCAGAAGTCCTTTACCTTGAGGTGAGCAGCTGTGGTCTTCAAAAAGCAGAGAAGCAGAGCAGTTTCATATCTTGCTCCCTCTGGGAACAACCTGAGCTCCCTTCTAGAGCAGCTTTCGAATACCGAGATTAAACCTTATGGACTTCCTTGCATGGTTCTCCATGTGGTCTGTCTACCTGAGGAGAGATGGATCAGTTAAAAGTGTGCATGAGCAGAAGGAGGGACAGCAGAGTTGAATTCACTCCCCCTCTGCTGCTGGGCAGGGAGGACAGGGAGAAAGATACTTTTCCTTGAGTGGAGATGAGGATTCAGTGCCAAAGACTCTTGCTGAACATGAGTGTGCCACTTTGGCTGTCACACTGGGAGAGTAGTCATGTCCAGTTGTGGCTTCCTGATGTCTCACTCTGGGCAGAGGCATGTACAAACGCATGCCCTGAGGCCCACTTGTCTTCCCAGCTGAGTGCTTTTTGGACGATTTTTCCTCTCCTGCACCCTATCAGCTTTGATTCCCATCTTTGCCAAGCAGGCTGTCTGTGGCACATTCACCACAACATGCCTTGGAACCAGGTCATAAAGCCCAGACTGGCCAAACCTCTTGCCTTCCCACCAGCTCTGGGAGGGCAGTTTGGGAGTGCCAGAGCCATGGGAGTCCTGTAGCCACACAGATCCTCAGCTCTGTTTCCTTCTCTGCAGGAGGGCACCTCTACCTACCCCAACCAGTGCACCAGGTGAGTCACTTTCTTTGTGGGGTTTCTGGGTTGTGCTCTTCCCTATCAGATCATCAGCTTTAGCTCTCTAAAGAGATTGCTTTAGGTGAAGCTCCTGCTGCAAGTCCAGTCCCCACTGAAAGTTGCTGGGAAGTTGGACACTGACTTTGGAGGAGAGTTTTTTCACCTAGCAGAAGTTCTGATCAAAGCCCTTTGTGTAGGCATTTCCTACACACACAGATGTGTGATTTCCTTAACAATGCTTAAGCTCAGGATCAGTTTGTACCCCTCTCTGCTTCAACAGCACGAGCTGCATCGTTCTTCAGGGATGGGATACATCTCTTTGAGCCTCATTCCCTCTTACCTCCCACCACTTTAACATGGGTGGCCAGAGCATGGTGTTTTTGTCCTGTGTGAAGCCTCATAATAAGCATTTCTCATGAGCAGACCTGATTTTTTTGTGTGCTCTGTGTTTCAGGTGACCCTGATTATGCCACAGTTGAAGGCTACAGCTTGATACATTACTAACAGCCACAGTAAGTACTCACAACTGATGAAGAAGAGATTGAATATGAGATGCAGCTACTCAGGGACAGTGGAGAAAGAAAGGCCACCAGTTAAGGGATGATGTTCAGATCACCAGCTGGGAGTGACAATCATGTCAGCCCTCCCATCACTACCCTGAGCTGGAGTGGTGGTTTAGTTGCTGTTAATCTGTTCTGTTGGTTTTCCAGGCAGAAGACACCGTTGGTCTGGCCAGCATGGCAGAGATGGTGTTTCCAGTTATTCCCAGCCACACAGAGCTGAAGTGCTTCTCTGTTTTAAGAAAGTATTTAAGGACTCTGATAATTACTTGTACACTCAGAAAGTCTCTCCTAAAAATCTGTGCCTTTGATCAGCAAACTCCTTGGACAGATACCTCATCTTCACACTCAGGGGAAGAAAAGGAATTTAAGCAGTGGGCCTGGACACAGGGCAATTTTCTGTGCTGGAAGGAGATTTTGATTTGAAGTTCCTCTAAAGTGCAGCCACCTGGGAGAGGCTTGGAGCCTCCCACACTCCAGATAACTAGAGAAGCCTTACGTGCTAAGGGGAGCATTGCAATACTTGGGGCATCCTGGCCTGTGTTCAGGGCAGACCCATCTCAGATAGGTCTCAGGTTCCACTTTTGCCTGTTTCTGAAGTCTTTTCAGTAGGGGTGATTAAACTTACCCTGTAGATTTAATTTTGGTGAAGACTCTCAGGGGTCTTACTTAGAGGAGCACCAGCCATGGAGGAGACCAGGGTTTGGCTGTAGATGTGCTGCAGGCTCAAGAGCCAACACTGGAAGTGGCTTTGCATCTTCCTGGGGCAGCAGTTCCCAGTGCAGCCACCTAGAGAGGCTGTGCCACCACAACAAACTTTATGGGAAGTCCTTCATAGAATCCTAGAATCATCCTGGTTGGAAGGGGCCTTGAAGATCACCAAGTCCAACCATAACCTAAATCCCCCAACTATAACCTAATTTACCCATTCAGTGCTTAAATCATGTCCCTCAGCACTATATCTGTATTTCTTATAAACACTTCCAGGGATGGTGACTCCACCACCTCCCTGGGCAGCCTGTTTCACTGTCCAACCACTCTTTGGGTAAAGAAATTTAAAAAAAAAATCAGTCTGCTCTTCCAGCTGCCCCTCGGATGAGGGGCTTGTGGTTTTTTAGGCTTATGGGGCCTTGAAGATCACCAAGTCCAACCATAACCTAAATCCCCCAACTATAACCTAATTTACCCATTCAGTGCTTAAATCATGTCCCTCAGCACTATATCTGTATTTCTTATAAACACTTCCAGGGATGGTGACTCCACCACCTCCCTGGGCAGCCTGTTTCACTGTCCAACCACTCTTTGGGTAAAGAAATTTAAAAAAAAAATCAGTCTGCTCTTCCAGCTGCCCCTCGGATGAGGGGCTTGTGGTTTTTTAGGCTTATGGTATAGCTTGTCCCAGGTAGACTTTGGAGACCCCCATCTGATTAGCTTCTGGGAGTCCCTAAGCTTTGGGCTTGTTCTCACTATGCACCATTGGAAACAAACTTAGCTACTCATGTTGGGATGGAGCCATGAAACTTGTATTTTTGACCTGGTCTCCTCAAAGTTTGTGCCCTTCTTGTTACCATACCTATGATTATGGCTTTGATGCAGAAGCTGCTGGTCTCCATGAGGTTCCCATGTCCAGTGTTGCTTAACAGCTCCTCAGGGCCTTACGACTCTAGACAGAGGGACACAGGACACGGGGACTAGCCCACAGCTGAGCCATCTACACCTGGCACCAGGTGACTGACTTTGGAGCAACAGGAGCTGCTAGTTGTGTGGTGTTACTCAAGTTGAATCAGCATGAGTTCAGTGTGTGCCTAAGCCCACTGGTTCTTGGGGATTTTACCTTATTTCCTTGTGTGGAAGAAGATTTTGGTGAGCTTTAATATTTGTCCTGCTGCGTTATAATGAACCTTGTAAAGTGCACGTGTCAGTGAATCCATGTTTGTACTGTTTTGTTTCTGAAAGAACAAGTATACAAATACGCTTCTGAAGGAGCTTGCTGTAGTCTCAGTTCTTTAAATACACATTTTAAAAATAAGTTTTGAGACTCATGTGCTGGGTATCTGGGTTTGTTTAAAGGTTGCCACGTTCGCTTTCTGTCGGGGCTGGTACACCTTGAGTGCACCCTAGGATGTTCAGGTGGAGTGAGTTGCCTCTCCTGGAAAAAAACTCCCAAGAGGGTATTTTTCCTCAGCCTTTATTTCCCTACTTGCTCAGTACCAAGACAGCTGTGGCAGAGAACACCCCAAGGAAAGCTGCATGAGAACAGGTACTTGTGATTAGCCATGAGCTGCAGCCCACACAGGGCTGCTTCCACTGGAAGAATGTCAACCCTCCTGAGCATTGCACCATTTCCTCACTGGGCTTTTTCAGCTGCCTGAGCATGAGAGGTGGTACTAGCCTGTCCTGCATGTGGAGGTCCCCAGTGGGGCTGCCTGCACGTTCACTTCATGCACAGTAATCTGAAAGTAAGGGTGCTGTCTCTGAACTCAGCACCTGTTTGAACAGACCCAAAACCCAGCAAAACCTGGCTTAGAAGAGGAGTGTCCAGACATGGAGCTACTGGGAAGGAAGTCTGTGTGCCCATGAAAGCTGAACTGGCAATTTTATCTCGGGCATCTTCCCTCGCTTGGTTGTCTTCTAAGTGGTGCAGAAGACTTTGGCCACCTCCCATGCTCCTAGGCTTTCTCATAGACATCCTGCCTTCCCTGCCCTGGGAGAGAGAGAAGACAAAGGCCTTAGTAAGAACTGCTTTAATGAGACAGAGTAAGAAGAATACAGATACTGAATAAATCAGATTCTGGGCACCCTGCTGTCATGCAGAGTCAGTCAGAGCTCTCCCTTTTCAGTCCTTTGGGCTAATACATAAATTATCACAAGAAAACAGCTCTGTTAATAAAGGAAGTTCACATGAGAACTTGCTGCATTTCCAGACACAGGCAGAGGCAGGAAGCTGCCCCCAAGGGCTGGTACCTGGAAGGATCTGCCTGCAGGCCCCAAAACCATGACTCAGCTGGGCTCATCCTGTGGCTGAGGGGCTTGTGCAACTCAGCACTGCACAGCCCTGTGCCTGCCAAGGGGATGACAGAACCATCACATCATTTGGGTTGGAAAAGACCTTTAAGACCATAAAGTCCAACCATTCCCCCAGCCCTGCCAAGGCCACCCCTGCCCCATGTCCCTCAGCACCACATCTACACAGCTTGGAAACCCCTCCAGGGATGGGGACTCCAGCCCTGCCCTGGGCAGCCTGGGCCAGGGCCTGACAACCCTTTTGGTGAAGAAAAATGGCCTCTGAACATACAATGGGATCCCAGTCAGGATCAATGCATCCCCACCTTGGCTGACGTGCAGTTTTACCTTTCCCACAGATACTACGTTAATAGCCTATGGACTTCTCAAGCCCTAAACAAAGGTCCAACAGAGCAGACATTGCCAGTTAAAAGTTAACTCCCTCACTACGACGTCCTCTGCAAGGTGGGCTGGAGCTCTGTTGGGGCTTGTCCATCTGGGAGAAGTCACTTCTGCTCCCGGAGTGGCTTGGATCAGCCGTGGCTCCATGGGGACAGCGGGGCAGCAGGGCAGGGAGCAGAAGGGGCAGTGCGTGGTGGCTCTGGGGGGAGCCTGGAGGTGCCTGGGGAGCTGTCAGGCAGCCTGCA